TGATGATGATGATATAGTTAAGTATGACATATAAGTTTTCCTTTTATGGGGTATTTTTTGATGGTTTTAAAAATTGTAAACAGAAATTTTTAACTCATAAATTAAGCAAATGACAATTGGTACTTCAAATGATATGAATAAGATAACAATGACACTAACAACTATCATAATCATATCACTGTAACTGTTGTAGTGAGCATGAATGATGAGCTTTGGGGCAAGATGCGTAAACAAAGAATGTTACAGGAAGAACTCAGACAGAAGAAAAAGGAACTGGAAGATTTGATGAGGAAAGATAGGAATAATAAAACATATATAAGAAACCAAGATAACCAAAGTGATCTTGGGTATGGGTAATGATCTTTTCACATTATTTGTAGTAGTGATTTTAACTTATTAAAATGAACAAGAAGTTGAAGATAATAGATTAATATATCCCACTTTATGTGTTTTTAATTTGGAATTAGTGTCACCTTAATAGTATATCCACTGAAAACACAATTTTTACTTATTAAGATTTGAAAAAATTTGGAAGTATTTTTTAAGATTCACTCTTTGGAAATACCTTTATTATCCCTGGTGATATTAACAATTGTTTATGTTCCAGAAGTTCTTACAACATAATATATCTTTCAGGATGAGTGTCCAGAGTGCTGGGGATGTCACCATGGCAACATGGGGAGGTTCCACTGTAGATAATCCAGAAGATACATTTGATGACTATGGACAAGATGATGATGATGATGATATTGATGATGGTAGGCACTTAGAATAAGCATGCTTAAAAACTTGGTATGCTCAGACTAACTTATATGGCAGTTTAAATTCATTTGGAAAAATCTAGGTCTGATTTAAGTGAAAAAAGTGAATTTTTAACTGATTTAAACTTCAGATGATTTAACTTTTGCTGTTTGTTGGTCAGAATGTCTAAGAGATAGAGGAGTGAAGTGTCATACACAGCACTTTCTATAGTGTGGTATGTTACCTGTTGATTAGGCTACCCAAGTGATGGTATAGTTCAGGTGGAGGAAGAAGAGGAGGCACGTGACGATGATGACGACAGAGGAACATACACTATTGATGAAGAATATCAGCGGAGAGAGCGCCAGAGAGGGGTGTTTGTACGACCTCCTGTCATAGATGATGAGTCACCCAGTGATGGACGAATGAGAGGTGGAGCCAGGCCCAAATTTGACCCACAGGGTAAGTGAACAGATGAGAACTTTTATGATAAGCGTTGACATTTAATAAATAGTGTTAGTATAAGTTGACAAAAGTGAGCTTGACCACTGGAATAGATTGCCTACAGTAAACATGTTTTTGTTAAAATTCTTTTCAGGAGACTGTGTTTCTGTTTGAAGCTCTGCAGTCAAAAATAGGTCGAAGAATACGGACTATATTCACTAAGGTTTTGCCTCTTTTAATCTTTATAAGCATCAGAATGAAGAAACATATTGCTCTGCCTGTCTAATGCTACCATGCATTATTATAACATCACGCTTTATCTTTTAAGATCCAAGAAACAGAAACCCATGGTCAAAGTCCCCCCTGAGCAGTGGAATATACCAGCGTGGCTGGCCAACTTTCAGTGAACAGAGGCGACAGAGAGCACAACAACAGGTGAGGGATTAGCATTGCCACAGTGGTAGCAATGGGAAATGATTTGAGAACTGTGTGTACCTCCATAGAAAATTGGGAGATAAAAGCAGAATGCAGTTAAATAAAATTTGTATTTTATGTACCAAATTGTTATATATTGATGGTGTTTTTAAGTCTTAAAATTTCATTCAATTTGGTTCATTCTGTTGTTCCTTGGATTGACTATGAGAGAATGGTTAGTTTTGGCTCTGATACCAATCTCTGTCCAAATAACCAAACTGAGCCACAGTAAAGCCTAGACAACCAAAGATAAAAGAGAGTTTTATTTTAGAATTACCGGTCTGCTGAAGAGATCATAAAGGAAGACGAGGACAATGTGGATGATGGCCAGCAGAGTCAGGAATATATTGTCACATTGCAGAGACAGCTAGAAAACACCAATGACATTTGTAGGACATTACTACAAGACCAGCAGGCACTCATGGAGGCTTTGTCTACTGCAGGTATGTACAAATTCTGCTTAATATGTTCTGTTTAATGTAATTTCATTGAAACAAAATACATAATAACATTCATGTGGGACCAAACTTGACAGCTGTATTTTCTGAAACAAGAATTTACTTATTGACAAAAGACACCAAGGAACTGCCCTGTTTGCTCTGTAGTTGCTTGTGTTTTCACACAGATTTGCTCTCCTTCAACATTGATAATAACATATCTGATGGCATCCTCATTGGTATGATGAAATAGCTGGTTTTAGTGATGGGAATTATACTTTTATTTTAAGTCCCACATTCATTTTATTTACTTAACAATAGCATTCACAACTTCACTTCACCCAGCATACATTTAATTCTTCACCACTCTCATCCCATATAGTATAGCTTGCTGTGTTTGTTTCCAGGTATCAGCATTCCATCTAATTCCTACAGGAAGACTGCCTACTCCGAGATGATCCACCACTACAGAGACCAGATGCAGCAGCAGCAGCTCTTGTTCAATGTGAACCAGATGTACTACCAGATGTCCCAGCAGCAGGCAGAGATACACAACCTCCACCACCAGCTACAGTCACTGCTCAGAGGAACTGGGGACGAGGGGGAAGAAGAAGAGGAGGAGCTAAGGTTACGTCCAAACAGTGTTGGACCCTGGGGGTATCCCCCAATGAGCCAGCAGCAGTCCCCCCTGCTGTATCCCCCTTACCCCATGATGAATCCCTCCCCAGTGTTTAGCCCAGACAATAGATTTAGTCCATACATGTCCCCCTATGCCAGTGGCATGTATCCATATTATCCAGGATTAGAGCAGCAAATGAGAGGACAGCCTCAGAAGCTGTCCACTTACTCTGATACTTTAGAGCCATCAGAGGATGAGAACCCCTTTGTCATTCCGTCCGACCCCAGGTACCGTCCATCACACCCCCCTGAGCCTGCACCTCCACCCCCCTCATCCCCTGTACCAAAGCTGAATTTGAGAGAGGTCCTCAAGCCAAGAAAAAGGTGAGAAATATTTGTTTATGGACCAGATCAAAGAACAACTTAAGAGGAATGCTTTTGTTCTTTAATAAATCAAGCTGACAAAAGTGATGGATTTATTTTGAATCTGTTGGTTTTGTGTATGTCGATACCGGCTGCAGTTTATATTACAGTTCACGAGACTTGTGATAAAGTGTTCATTAATTGTAAAATCTCTCCCAAATCAATTTACAGGAGGAGACAGGATGTTGAGGATTCTGCAAGGTCAGAGTTATCTGAGAAATCTGGGTCAGGTAAGATTGCAGTAACTGTTGTTTAATAAGGTAAATACTCATGTGATTTAACACATTGTATTAAAATGATAGCATATGTTGATCAGTGTTAATAATTGCTTCTGGCACAAACTGTGTAGACCATATTTCATTCAAGTTTTATTAAGTTTAAAAATAAATGGCTTCATTTTAAATTCACCTTGTTGAAAATATTTCAGCTGTGATAGGTCAAGTGTACCCTACCCCTAGTCGCGCCAATGCTGCTGCACGGTTAGCCAGTCGCCGTCAGCCTCCTCCTGAAGAATACCGTCCAGGTCTTAGCGCAAACATCAGTGGGACAGCCTTCATGGACACTGCCTCACTGTCCAGCTACATGTCCAGTCTGCCTGGTGGGGAATCCTCTGCCAGGGAACAGAGGGCCAAAATTAACAGTGAACTGTAAGTGAAAATTTAAATAAGAATTAAACAAATTATCCATGTATATTTTTATTTTTCTTTTGGTCAAAGAAAATCAGTTACATTCTTATCAAAAGTGTAGTAATATTTTCTATAACTCGTGGGTTTATGTTATTTCTCCCTTTTAGTGAATCTGACACTCCCAGTGAATTCTCCCTGTTTGAGGCCCTGCGTGAGACCATCTACTCAGAAGTAGCTACTCTGATCTCCCAGAATGAGACCCGTCCACATTTCCTGATTGAGCTGTTCCGTGAGCTCCAGATGCTGAACTCTGATTATCTCCGGCAGAGGGCGCTGTATGCCATCCAGGACCTGGTGACACGATTCCTGACAGAGGAGAGTGTTGATGCCAGTGAGAGCACACAAACGGTATGCAAATTTAAAACTAGTGGATCACAAAGTAAAAAGAGAGAGAGAGAAAAAGAATTTTAATAGTAAAAAATTAGAAGCATATGGTCTTATTTATTTCTTCTCTAAATGACAAAGCTGTAAACTTGGTTTGGATTCTGGATCTTTCAAGTGTGAGTGTCTCTTTTGAAAAAAAAAAGAAAGTCAACAACACCAGATTTTAAGTTAGATGAGCCCAGTAGTTGCATAGTTTTCACTTAATTGTAGTGCTGCCTTACATTGAGTTAAACTTTTTGGTTTAGTATTAGTTGGTCTGTTCTGTTGTAGCCTCTTCCTCCCTGGTTGCTGGTAGCTGGCGCCACTGGCGATGAGCAGACACCCAGTGAGTCTCTCATCACTTCTGATGAGGAGGAAGTCAGGGTAGGTCGTAGGTCAGAGGTCACACATCCTGAGTGTCAGAGCACTGAACAGCAAAGAATTGCAAATATACACATTAGAAAAGTGACTCAGCTCAGACTAAGTGAAAGAAACTTCACTTAAAATACATTAAGACTTCTTGATCCTCACATGGTGGTATACTGTGTGAGTCACAGGGTTGAATACCTGTGGTGACTATTGCATGCTGTTGTAAAGGTAGTTCAATCACAAGTTCTCTGACATTCAGTGGAGATACACAATATAAGATGTGCATTCACTTTATTTCAGTGTGATGGAATTTTACTCCTCACAATATTTACTTCATTTTATTATTTTTGCACTTATTACTTATTAATCTTAAATTCTAGTTTTCTATGTGCTCAAGCATGCTTTAGATCTGTGCACAGTCCCACAATATCTCAATTTATTTAATCGTGTGTAATTTCCCCCTAAACTCAATTGGAATTATTTGCTTCCCCAGGCTAAACTGTATGAGATGGAGATGGAAATGGCCAAAGGCAAGAGCAGTGACCGGTCAGCTGCATCACTGCAGTCAGGTTCTATCCGTAGTGACCGCTATGACTATGTGGAGAGGGCAGACACCAGCAGCACCATGTCTACCCCTCCCTCTGGCACCTATTGGGACTCCCCCTTTGCTCAAGACTTGGGAGAAACTGTGATACATTTGGATAAGGTGAACTATTTCTCTTTTTTGCTTGAATTATATGATAAACAAAGATGTATAGTGGTCAAATAAATATGTCATTTAAGGTCAAAGACATTGAATGTGGTCATTCAAATTCGTGCCTGAATTGAAATGAAGAACAAAAGGGGGCAACACTGCGGGGCAGAATTTGCTTGTAAACTTTTGTGGAGGGAGAGAGGGTGATTTTGAGCAGAATGCCATTGAACACTCAAACAATATCAGATATGGAGTAATGAGTAAGTTCATTGCAGTAAAAATTATATATGAAACAACCATTTCCTTTGAGGAACTAGATAAATATTGTCCTGTTTCCAGGCTATGCAGAAGGTGCGTGACTATGAACGGCGTATGCAGGAGGCTGTTGATAAAGGTCAGGCTGCCAATGTGGCTGGCCTAAAGGTGAAGGATACTTCCTCTGTTGGGACCAGTAGCTCAGCACAGGATCCAGGCAGTGAGAGCTCCATATCAGATGTGCCAGTGAGTATTCATATTGATGGCTTATATAGATTATTACTGCAAAGTGGCTGTGTCTTTCTGTTTAACTTTTTTGAGGCATAGCACAGACAGGATGTTGACTGGGCTTGATGCATGAGTAACTGAAGAATATAAGAAAATTAAAGTCAAAACGGCGAGAATTTGCAAATGAGAAAAATCTTTTTAATTCAATTATCAGCTGCAATTAGAAAAAAAAATTACTAATATGTAGCAGTTACCAGATCAAAAAAGTTGTAAATTACACTGTATTGACAAAATACCAGTTGCAACAGGAAATAAGGTCTCCACTTTTATAACTCTGCATATCTGCAAATCAAAAGCATCCTAATTGTATTTTCAGTACCCTCGTATTGACACGCAGCAGTTAGACCAGCAGATCAAGAGCATCATGACAGAGGTGATCCCAGTGTTAAAGGAGCACATGGAGGACGTGTGTTCCACCCAGCTGCTGGCTTACATACAGAGGCTGGTGCTGACACTGACCAAACAGCAGGACGATGGCCAGGAGTTTGTACGCTTTTTCCACAAACAGCTTGGTTCTCTGTTGCAAGATTCTCTGGCCAAGTTTGATGGAAGGAAGTGAGTTATTATCTGATTAAAATGTTTGCATGATGTAAATTGATGTGCATTGTTAAAAAAAGTCAAGACTACATTATAAAACTAATGAGCATTTAAAGAGTGTAGACCACCAAAGAAAACAGTAATTTTAGAAGGGTACCAGAACAAAAACTTCTTTTAAAAATTTAAGGAAAAGGTTAAGTTGACATTGTAGGCACTTCTTTCCATTCTGGATAACCGTCTATCAAAATTAATTTCATCTAAATTCTGTTATTACTCTCAGGCAGACAAAGAGACAAACCAACACCGATAAAAAGTATCTCCTGTTGGCAGAGTTAATAAAGGTATTATTGGTTATCCATCTATTCCAGGATGCGTGAGTGTGCTGAGGACCTGCTGGTGGACATGTCAGAGGTGTTGTTCAATGAGTTAGCATTCTTCAGACTGATGCAGGACCTGGATGAGACCACAGTGGAGGTCAGGACCAGGGCTAAGAAGTGGGCACAGGTTAGTTTGGGTACTGTACTCAGCATATCTACACATCTCAGCAACTCTGAACTTGGCCAACATCTGATAATTTATTTTGAAGTGCTGAATATGTGATTTGGTTTGCTGAAGAAAATATGCAATAAAAGTTTGTTTAATTTTGTGTGTTCTTCATCAGTTTGTGAAAATTAAATTACTTTTTTGAAATATATTGTGGACTGAAACAAGCCATCTTTTATATTGAATGTGAATATGAATGTACTTTCCTTTGGACTCTCAGGAATCTCAGACATCTACAGAGACCACTGAGGATGGCTTGCCAGACCAGGATGAGACTGAGGACAGCAGTGAGGAGGAGGAGGAGGAGGAAGAAGAGGATGAAGAATCTGAGGATGGGGAAAACACAGCACTACACGTGTCACCTAAAGAGGAAGAGGATCTTGGCAAGGTGAATATATTTGTTTATGTGCAGGTTAGAATAAGACTTAATAAGAGTTATGAATTTGGTAGACTAAAGAGGTTTGATATAGGCAGAGTGCTGCTGCTTTTGAATAAATTAATTTTGGATTGATGTGTCAGTGCATGATTTGAAAATTTGTAATGGCAAGATGTGTAACGACTAAATGCAATCTGTTAATTATATTTGTTTTATTTCTCTCTTTAACTGATGATTGAGATATATTTGTCGTGATTTTTTTGCCATGTGATATTTCTGTATTTCAGGCCTATGGTGATGAGGTATGTTCAGTATTACATTGTTAACATTGTTTTATATTCCAGGCTAGAGATGATGAGATGGCCTATGCCACAGATATGGGGAGGGAAGATGATGAGTCCCTGTCACAGACACCCATCAACATAGAACTGGCTGTCAGTGAGACCAAACCTTTTACTAGGTGAGAATAAAGTGAACTGTTGCTTGTAACAACTATTTGACTATGTTTACTTCACAGTTATTGAAAATGATGATCTGTATGTGGAGCAAATGTGATAAGAGTGCAATTCATGATGCAGTCTTAAATTGTGGATTTTTGATGCATACAGTACTATATTGGTTCGTAAATAAATTTTGATACCAGAGAAACAAAGGAATGTTGAGATTTACCTGGTTTGCTCTGACTAACCTTTGTATGTCCTATCAGGATTGGAAGTGATGAGGATGAAGACGAGGAAGAAGAGACACAAAGTGCAGATGACCCTTCAGAGACAGCAGTATCAAGAGAAGAAGAAAAGGAAAAATCATCAGGCGAGTCCCCATCCCCGTCAGGACCAGATGCCTCACCGTCTTCCTCCAATGTCACAGTGATTGATACCACAACAGCAGCGACCTCTGGTGGTGATGTTGAGAACAGAGGTGGAGGAGATGCGGAAAATGGAGCCACTTACATGAATGGAGAGGTGAGAGGGTTTCTTTGTATTATAACCATGCAGTGTCTTTGATATGGGGATTGCCCTTTCTGTTAATGATTTTTTTCCTTTCTATATGATATTGTTTCGATCTTGTATATCAGAGCATTTTTTTGAAAAATCTGATAGAAGAGTCACATTTTATTCTTATGTATCATTTGTGGAATAAATGTAGTTTTTCAGGTAGCAGTATTGCCATTTTCAAAATGTTTTGAAATAAGAAGGAAGATTTTTAGAAGCTGAGAAATTGACTGATTGTTCTTTTTCATTCAGGTTGTTGTTGCAGAAGAAGAAATTGAAATAGTAACTATAGATGATCTGCCATCTAAAATGTCTGGACTGGAGAAGGTAATTGCATGTTCAAATATTTTAACTTTATTTTTCAATATTGCTTTCACAGAAAAGGACAAACTTTTGAATATTTTGCATCAAGTGGAGGATAGGTATTCTGTAGATATATGGGTGTAAAAGTAATATTTGGTACAAGAAGAATCCAGCATAAAATACCTTTAAACAAGGTCTTCAACTTTAAATAAATGAGAAAGACAATAATTTGGAAAAAGACTTTCTTTAACAAAGCTGACACTCCATTTTAGCAGGCTCAGGTTGAGAACCAAGTGAATGAAGAAGCCAAGGCAAGTTCTGGCACTGCGGCAGTGTTATCCACCATGCCCTCTGGAGAGGAGGAGTTGGCAGGGGACGGGGCCGCCATCAGAGAACCGGGTATGTGTCCAGAATAACCTTTTTTACTGCCTGGATTGTATTTAGGCTTTAGGCTACCAGTTGGATAAGTCTCTCTCTACTTTTAAAGGAAGTAAAGGAGTTTTTTTGTAGAAGAAAGTTTGTTGAAAATAGCTATATTTCAAGTTTTAAAAAAAGGGAAATTCAGTGGAGGTAGGTGAAGGGAGTCTGCATCAAGTTAGATCTTTCAAGGCATCTTGGACTTAGAATTCAACAGCCTGACTTTTGTACTTTCATAATAAAATACAGTCATAATAACATATTTCAGTTTTTTATGCTATTTCATAGAGAAGAGTATTGAAAGCTGCTTAAGTTGTAGACATTTTGTAAGATGATTGAAAAGGAATACATTTGCACCCATTTTTAGGAAAAAAAAGCATGCGTCAACCTAGATGTACAAAAGTGTGTTGTGGCTCTGAGTTAGTTGGCTAGTCTGGTGTGGGTAGTACATTGTACGTGTTGCAATTGTATGTTACTACAAAACCTGCTTTAGGGCATCATCAGTCCAGTATATATGTGTGTGAAGCACATTGTAGGGTTCAAAACCACTGTTTTTCATATTTTGCAATGTTTGGTGCAAAAAGTGTGTTTTAAAAGACATAATTATGCATACTTGGCACCATTGTCTTTCAAAGCATATACAGATGACTGGCACAGAAGCACTGGCTACTTGGCAAATGTTTAATCTGCATTCTGATGTATAATGAATGACTTAGGCAACTTGTGTTTAGTGTGTATTTTGGTCTATCTTGTCCTGCATTTGTTCTGTGGTGTGTAGTAGTACTAAGTCAAGTGTACTAAGTCAAGTGTTGGTTCTGTTTATTTGTTAGGCACCTTTAGCCCAGTGTGTACCATGTATGATGAGAATAAGGTGGCATACAAACACACACCAAAGGGAGGGAAGTTGATGGCTAGCAGCAATCAGCAGTAGAAATACAATACAGCATGTGAGTGCACTTGTGTAGTGTTCCCCCTCCTCTGCTGTTGACAGGGATGTGATGATTAAGATATTACCCCCTGATATAAGGGGATTTCACTTCTATTCAGTCTCATCCTTGGTCAACAGGTGTGTAAATTTGTTTGGCTTGCATGCATGTCCCCCCTCCCCACCCCACCTTCCAATCCCAGTTTTGCACACCCTTATACCTCTCCCCAACACATAAATGCTAGCTTGCAAAATGTCATTGGCAAGCAGAAGTGCACCATTATCTCAAATACCACATGACATAAAAAACCAAAGCTCAGCTAGTTTGAAACTTTTAAAAGTTAACAGAGCTACTAAAATATCTCCACCGGCTGTCTCTTTATGCTTTCTGTACAATAAGTAGCTAACTATCATGGTCTTGTGCAGAAAGTAGAGGTGTTTGGCTTGCTGACAATGAATTCTCTGAACTGGTTAATGTGCATGGTCACAAGTTAGAGGGAAAACAAATTGCTAGTCAGTTGAGGACACTAAAGCCAAGNTGATCTGCCATCTAAAATGTCTGGACTGGAGAAGGTAATTGCATGTTCAAATATTTTAACTTTATTTTTCAATATTGCTTTCACAGAAAAGGACAAACTTTTGAATATTTTGCATCAAGTGGAGGATAGGTATTCTGTAGATATATGGGTGTAAAAGTAATATTTGGTACAAGAAGAATCCAGCATAAAATACCTTTAAACAAGGTCTTCAACTTTAAATAAATGAGAAAGACAATAATTTGGAAAAAGACTTTCTTTAACAAAGCTGACACTCCATTTTAGCAGGCTCAGGTTGAGAACCAAGTGAATGAAGAAGCCAAGGCAAGTTCTGGCACTGCGGCAGTGTTATCCACCATGCCCTCTGGAGAGGAGGAGTTGGCAGGGGACGGGGCCGCCATCAGAGAACCGGGTATGTGTCCAGAATAACCTTTTTTACTGCCTGGATTGTATTTAGGCTTTAGGCTACCAGTTGGATAAGTCTCTCTCTACTTTTAAAGGAAGTAAAGGAGTTTTTTTGTAGAAGAAAGTTTGTTGAAAATAGCTATATTTCAAGTTTTAAAAAAAGGGAAATTCAGTGGAGGTAGGTGAAGGGAGTCTGCATCAAGTTAGATCTTTCAAGGCATCTTGGACTTAGAATTCAACAGCCTGACTTTTGTACTTTCATAATAAAATACAGTCATAATAACATATTTCAGTTTTTTATGCTATTTCATAGAGAAGAGTATTGAAAGCTGCTTAAGTTGTAGACATTTTGTAAGATGATTGAAAAGGAATACATTTGCACCCATTTTTAGGAAAAAAAAGCATGCGTCAACCTAGATGTACAAAAGTGTGTTGTGGCTCTGAGTTAGTTGGCTAGTCTGGTGTGGGTAGTACATTGTACGTGTTGCAATTGTATGTTACTACAAAACCTGCTTTAGGGCATCATCAGTCCAGTATATATGTGTGTGAAGCACATTGTAGGGTTCAAAACCACTGTTTTTCATATTTTGCAATGTTTGGTGCAAAAAGTGTGTTTTAAAAGACATAATTATGCATACTTGGCACCATTGTCTTTCAAAGCATATACAGATGACTGGCACAGAAGCACTGGCTACTTGGCAAATGTTTAATCTGCATTCTGATGTATAATGAATGACTTAGGCAACTTGTGTTTAGTGTGTATTTTGGTCTATCTTGTCCTGCATTTGTTCTGTGGTGTGTAGTAGTACTAAGTCAAGTGTACTAAGTCAAGTGTTGGTTCTGTTTATTTGTTAGGCACCTTTAGCCCAGTGTGTACCATGTATGATGAGAATAAGGTGGCATACAAACACACACCAAAGGGAGGGAAGTTGATGGCTAGCAGCAATCAGCAGTAGAAATACAATACAGCATGTGAGTGCACTTGTGTAGTGTTCCCCCTCCTCTGCTGTTGACAGGGATGTGATGATTAAGATATTACCCCCTGATATAAGGGGATTTCACTTCTATTCAGTCTCATCCTTGGTCAACAGGTGTGTAAATTTGTTTGGCTTGCATGCATGTCCCCCCTCCCCACCCCACCTTCCAATCCCAGTTTTGCACACCCTTATACCTCTCCCCAACACATAAATGCTAGCTTGCAAAATGTCATTGGCAAGCAGAAGTGCACCATTATCTCAAATACCACATGACATAAAAAACCAAAGCTCAGCTAGTTTGAAACTTTTAAAAGTTAACAGAGCTACTAAAATATCTCCACCGGCTGTCTCTTTATGCTTTCTGTACAATAAGTAGCTAACTATCATGGTCTTGTGCAGAAAGTAGAGGTGTTTGGCTTGCTGACAATGAATTCTCTGAACTGGTTAATGTGCATGGTCACAAGTTAGAGGGAAAACAAATTGCTAGTCAGTTGAGGACACTAAAGCCAAGTCATGTGTACTTGCACCTGTCACTGAATGGGGATTGAATTTCAAAAGGCATTTTGCATGAGATTTCACTTTTCATTTAAGTACAATGTCTTGACCTTAGATGTCTTGGCAGCACTGTTGCACAGTTAATCAGATAACACAAAATATAAAGGAAGGAACAAGCTAGAAAAGGGGATCATTCAAAAAGGATGTGGTGTTTGCTATCAGTTCTACTGGGTTCCTATTTAAACATGCTTCCTTTGCCTGAGAGCACAGGAAAGGAGTTTAGGTTGGCCAAGATAAGAAAAGAAGAGTGAAAATTGGTCAAGTTGTTTCAGTGTTGACATGGTGCAATCCTGGTGTTAATAGGTATTGATTCATATTTTCAAATGTCTTTATCTCTTTTATTTTCTAAGTTCAGATTATACCAAATATGGTAATTTGATTGAAAAATCCTTGTTTTATTGCATAGTAATAAATTGTATATATTTTATTGTTCTGTTACAGGGTCTGAGGTGCCCCAGCCTGCACAAACTACAGTTCAAGAGAGTGCAGTGTGATGTGAACCAAGGTTGTGATCCATGTGTATGGGACCAGTAGTGTGTGACTGTGATTCAGAGACTGTATGTAGAGGTGAAACTTAACCCAAAAAGGAAGGGAAGCTATAAATACAAGTGTAGGAAAAGGAGGAAGTTCTGTTTAGTGTTGACATTGCAAATGTTGAACTCTTTAAAGTTTTATCGAATTTGTTATTTAACGAGTTGTGTAGGAATATGGAATCTATTGGACACGGTGTAGTGTTGGAAAAGTTAAAAGTTTGTTTGAAGTTGAACAGAATAAATACAGGGATCAGATTCAGTAAGAGGGAGGTGAAAAAGATAAACAGTTTCAATTTGAATTAAACAGAACAGTGTGCCCCAAGTGAAAATTTGCAGTGATAAAATGAGGTTTGACTATGGTTTTACCAAATTAAATTTTTTGAATGGTTATTTTATAACCCTTAAATTTTATTCTTAGTGAATGGGTTTTGGGAGTCAAAAGTTCCTATACAAGTGTGCTGGATGAATTTCCAACACAGCAGTTGTAGAAAAGTACTCCACCCTCAGCTTGTTGAGATTCATTTGCAATGTATTATAGCCGATTTTTTTTTTTTTTTGAAAGGAGTTATTTGCCACATAAGATTGAAGCAAATTAGAAATCCATTATTGTTACCATGAAGTGCATTTAATATTATATTGTTATAACAGCATATCCCAGCTGATGGCACATGTACAGTAACATGCACCCAAAGACAAATTATTTTGATCATTTTTATTTTAATTTAGATGTGTGACAGTGCTTTCCCAATTAAATTTATAGTTTACATTGAAAAAAGATGGATTATTGATATCTTAATTATGATTATTTCTTTGTACTTTTTGAACAATGTTTTATTATAGTAATATTAACTATTGTTGTGTGAGCTGAGTATTGAGAGAACAGTTGTTGTGTTGAGATGTATCAAACACAGGAATAAAGCATTCCAGTTGTATTTAGTTAAATTAATGTTTCCTTCTATTTTTAGTGCCCCATATTACAGTACAGGGCTCCTGCCATTAAATACTCTCACAAAGTTTTTCGTCCCCATTACGTGTTGTAAGATGGTCAGATGACATTGAAATACTACAATATTGAAAAGAACCTACTTAAATCTCTCTCTCTCTCTCTCTCTCCCCCCCCCATCCCCCCACCATTTAACCTATGTTATTAAGGTTGTCATCTGAATTTTTTTTCATCTGGGTATTCAAAATATATTTGGTATGAAGGTTCTTATTTACAGTGAAGGATACAACATGTAGTCTTTAATACAGATAAGTTATAAAATACATAAATATTTTCTATTATAATAGCGAGAAAAGTTAATAAACTAAGTATACTAATATTGAGCAATGGTACAAAACAAAATTAAACTGTTTTCTTTTTCAATTGCACAATACATAATTTAATGTAAGTACACAAGTCATTTCCTTAAAAGGTGAGTCTTAAATTCTTTCAAATTGTGACCCTTTCTAATGTTCACTTTTACGTTTCAAGAATGTTTAATTAAACAGTCATAATATAACAAAATATAAAAGACCGTCTTAAGATGACATTGTTTTTCTTTCATTTCTTTTTGTGTCATATTCAAAAAATAAATTCCACTTCTGATCACTGATAAGCTGATAGCAAAGCAATGTACAGCACAAATAATATTTAATTTACATCATTACAGTGGTAACAGGAACTCTGTCACATAAATAGGGCAATAGTAAACAATGTCTGACAATAATACTGGTCCCTGTCTGTAGTCCCATGGTGGGCTGCACCTCATGCCATCTCTACCCATGAACAATTTCATATGTCAGCAGTGAAATTAATGTAAAGATGCTACATAGATCATCTCACCATCTTTATCATGATATGTGAAATTTAGACACTTTGAATAGAATACAATTATTAAAGTTTAATGTGCCTTGTTACCAAAATACTCTTTCAAATTCTTTAAAAATGAGAACTGGGACAATTTTTCTGGGACTGATAATGTTTTAGCAAAGTGTGCCTTTTGTTCCCTAAATTCCACTTAATCAAAAAATTTCCACCTTTTTCTTCCATAAACAGTATTTCAGAACCATGTGAAATCTCATTATAGTAATGTTCTTCTTGATCTTATTCACTAATAGAAAACAACGTGGAACTGCAAGCAACAACATATAACTTATCTGATTGGTTACATTTACCTAACAGTAAAAAATTGTGTGGTTTAACATAACAGTAAAAGTACTCCAACAGCAGTTTCACACTGTTTTTGTTTCATTGCATTTTCTCATTCAGTGCTCTATGTTTGGCTATGTGCTGAAAATATAGTCATTTTGGCATGTTAGTTTATGTCAGGCACCCTATAACAATGCATCATATTGCTTTAATAAGGATAAACATCATGTTCTTAATGCCTCTGGACGGCAACATACACAGAGTTTGCATTGTGATCATCCTGTATTTCTGGTTGAGTTTAGTCAGCTATGGGTTTGATAAGTATCACCATGCTCTTAGAAGGCTCTATATCCTGCAGAGTAACTTGGATGTTCAAACTGTTCCCTCTAGAGCATGCAAATGTTCCAGTGCGCTGGACTTGGAGTGGTTTCTCCTGTTCATTGTGTATAAGAATAGTGGCCTGAACCTTAGCCTCACCATTCACCATGGCCGAATCATGACAGTACAACTGTAGAGACCAGGTGTCATTGTTCTTTCGATATGTAATTTTCCACTCCCCTTCTTTTTGTTCATTCGGCACAGGGCCTACGTAAGTGCGCACATCAACCTGTATTCCGAACCTGAGTGTGTTCTGAATGCTGACTTTGTCCACCTGCAGATCAATATAGTCACGAGGCATGTAAAATATATCTGCAAAACTTACCCCAAGGGTGCTCTGCGATGGGCACAGGGATCGAAACCTGTAAGCACGGCCGAGCAAGTCTTTCAGTAAATCTTTACATTCTTCATGACTAGCCAGTGCACTCGTCTCTACTTCAAACAAATCCCTTACCATCATCTGAGGGAACCTCACCAGGGGGAGCATTTGTTGTGCATTGTCGCTGATGTTTGCAATATTACTCTCACTGAGCAACCAGCGCTCAGCTGCATGGTACATCATCAACTCATTCTTGATGATCAGTTCATGACTCTGCAGAATATCGCAGACAAATTCCAAATCCATAATCAGCCAATCAGGGGACTGTATGATATCTGCGATGTTCCAGGTTATAGTCTCATGGCACTGCTGGACCAGGTCGGTCAAGTTTAAGGCTTTGGCCCACGAATACCAGTTTAAAGCATTGGTCACTTTGGGACTACGAGAGTGATGAACCATATACTTTGTAACCAATTCTTTTAGGGACCCTACTCCATACTTGTCTGCCAGGCACAGTATGCCCACAGCACTCTCTGGGTTTATTGACACGCTCGCTGTGTACAGGTACTGCAAGAAACGTTCAAATGCCTCCTCACACTCCACACTTTCATTAAGCACCACTTCACTATCTCTGGTACCACTTAGCCATTGTTTCTCATATAGCATACACTTGAACACTTCGCTGGACTTTGCCAGCACAAACTTGTGGCCATAGAACCTTTGTTCACCCACAGTCAGTATGACATCACTGAGCGCCTCTTGGTTGAAGAACTGGGACACATTCTGTATGAAGTCACTTTCATCACGAAGGACTTGGTTGGGGTCATCTTCATGCTCTTCCATGTTGCCCTAAAAAATTAAGGACAGTAATTTTACTAACTTTGGATGGGCAATAAAGTTACAAACAGAGGCAAAGAAAGTCTGGACTTTTATTTCAAATTGGTTTTTTTGAATTTTCTTTAAAAAACATATTTCCTTTTGCTTAAGTATTTCCTTTCTTTGGTATTTCCCTGTAATGAATTGCCTCTAAGAATTGCTAAATTAAGATGGAATTCCATTTCATTTTTTTCCTCAAGAATGTTTTTTAAGTTTAAGAATTTTTAAGTTCAAATATTCACTAACTTATGAATATATTTATATTTCACTGATACTGTTAAAATGAACAATAACATAAATGTTTCAAAACACTTGTGTTCAAATGCCATATCCCACAAACTAAAGAAAACCAGCCTGGAAAATAAATCACAGATCACTCAAAAAAGTATTTTCAAATAAAGGTTATATGTGAATGATGATGTGCAATCTTGGACAACAATAGCCCCACAGTACTGTTATGGCCTAACAATATGTCACAGCGCTATAAAGAACATAGAAGCACCAACTTCACCTCAACAACGCATATGATTGATAAAATGCGTGCAGGCAGGTATTACCTGTCAGAGAGCATCTTAAATGTATCCATCAAATACATTAATATCAGCTCCTACACATTAGATCAACAACTAATGAGCAAGAAAAACTGGCATGAAATAGTTGTCACATCCCTTAAAACAATTTCAATATTCAATATAATTTTACAATGTAAAATAAAGCTAATTTTTTATTTGCATGATTTTTCACGCTTCATAAAAAAGAATGTACAACAGTTTGTGTCTGAAAAACATTTTATCATTCATCATATTCAATCTTCTTTGGCATAAAATTGGTTGTTTGGCTGCATTTTTTCCCCCAAAAAACAATGGCTTGCAAGAAATCCCTACAGTGTGCTAAAAATATGTAATCTCTGCTTTGAAGTCTGTCTCTGAGTCTGAGAGATGACTCACGTCTCACATCTGCTGTATGATAGATCACTTAACTATGTTCAGCAAAAGGGGGTAAGAAACACATTAATATTCACAGCATCAGGTCAATAATAGACCTTGTAATACAGACAGCAGTCTATGCAAAGATTTTCCCTCTGCCTCAGGTGATAGGCGTCAAATTGCATCACCACTTGCAGAGCCAAGCTGAAAATAAGAGATCAGATGCAGAAGAGTATAAATTACATCTGACCCAGAAATCTAAATTTACTGCTGCAGAAAACAAATGTGTTATGTATAGATTGTAGGGCGGTGGCAGCAAGCAGTCCAGGAACTGTAGGGAAACAAAGCATTTAACAGCCAGCAAACCCAAGAGATTATAAGGATTCTAAACATTTTATACCTATAGCAGGAATAAACGGAAGCACACAGCAAGCGTACAGTTGGCAACCACCACAGGCTTTTATAAAGCAGATAGTAAGCATTCCTCCAGGAGTACTAGGAGTAGATCAGCTAGCTGTAAAGTAGACAGACCATCCCTGGCAGCATCATGGTAGTAATGCTCTATATCTCCTCTATCTCTGCTAATATGGAGACCAAGAGGAATCAGAATAGAGTTCAAAATGTGCTGGAAGCAAAGAAGATAACCCACCAGGTCATAGATATTGCTAACAGTGATACGGACAAGGCCTTCATGCAGCAAAACAGCCGATCCCGAGATGACAACCCACCCCTCCCCCCACAGTTATTCAACGGGCATGAATACCTAGGGGACTTCTTTGACTTTGATGATGCAGTAGAAATGGGAACTCTCAATGCTTTCTTAAAGTTATAAAGATAGAAAAATGTTGTGCTGATATTATGCCCTAAGGACTGCCCAAGAACATGGTTAGCAGAATGTTTTGAAACAATGCTACTGACTTTTTTATACAACCAGAAACAAGGGACTATTGTCATGGTCTATGGCATTTAAAATACATATTACAATACAGCCAGCCACATGATGCTTTATATTCTTCCTATAGATGCAAAGGAATTCATTTAGTATACTGTTTTGAAAACATATGCTACTGATACATGTATGGATTATACACCAGATGTCAGATAAAACCTATATAATAATATACAAATATAATTGCATGATAATTTATTTTTCCAGACATATGATGCTATATGGCTTGGAAGTGAATGATAGCATATAAATTCTGCAATGCTTGTGCCTCTTTGGTACACATCTCTGTGTGTATATCTTATTAAAAGGAGACAGACAATGTATTATTTCACTTCATTCTACTGAATCAATATGGAAAGTAATTGAATGTGCAAGCCAAAATCATATTGGCAGCTATAATCAATTCTTTCAACAAAACACATATTGAGCAAATGCAGTAGGAACCACAGCGTCAGACTATGCCATTCAGACTTAAAAATGAGAGCTTGAATACATATATGCCAGTCAAGTCTGGGAAAAATAGCTGCAAGAAGTGCTAGCCAGCAAACGAGACATGCTATGCTATTCTGACATGAAAATGAGAGCTTGAATACATTTACGCCTGTCAAGTCTGGGAAAAATCTGCAAGAAATATGCTAGCTAGCGAACAAGACATTCATAACAGAGCAAGCCTGCCAGATTAATTCCATATGATATATAATACTATAATAAGTTTCATAAAATTTCAATCGCAAAACAGGATTTCAAAGCCTTAATTCACAGTGTCAGGTCATGAAGAAGGCGTTTCCTAAAGATTGCAATCACCACTTTCACATAAATGATGCTCTTGTTTTCTTTTGCGAAACCAACTTTGCTTTTCAATGCAGTTACAACCTACTTTGTCTTGTTATGTAGATATCTTGAGACAAATAAGCAAGTTAAATTGATGATACTAAACTTTAAAATTGTATGACAAGTTATGACTTGAAATTATGTTGCAAGTGTTTTTATACTGTTACTTCACAAACATTGGTGCCGTTTGAAAAAATACTGAATTACTGAACTTTTTTGTTCTCCAATTCAGTAAATATAATACAGGGTGTTTTGGTGCTGTCTGAAAAAATACTTAATTACTGAACTTTTTTTGTTCTCCAATTCAATAAATATAATGCAGAGCATTTAAAAACATCTTACACATTGTGCTTGAGTTTCAGGTTCATTTTCATTTTCAAGCCTCTAGAATATTAAAATATTCTTCTTATTGCATATTCCATTTACAGCTTCTCTTATCACAAGCTGTGGCAGATATATTGCATGCACATTCAACAAAACACCCTGAGTTTCGGAGATCACTGGGATCTCACCTCCATTTTCAACATGCCTCTGACATTTCCAGTTACAGACATACCGAAATCAGATGTATAATCTCTGAAACACAGGGTTTTTGAGAGATTATATCTGCTTTCAACATGCCTGTAACTGGAAATGTCTCAAACACAGGGTGTTAAAACCTCCAACAGGCAAATCATACTGAGCCAAACGACAAACTGACACAGCTACTTTACAGACAACCTTTCACATGTAATAAGTTGGAGTTCACCATGAGGTTCGGGGTAATGACCATGCATGGCAGCAAGTATATGATTGGACAGATTTTATATACAAACATCCGTTCCTCATTTCTGTAGCAACTTAGAAGTATAGGTGCTAAGTAACTGTAGTGTGAACGGGTATTAAAATTGTTCCAAATGCATAATATTTTTACTTGTATTTTCCTTGCTTCTTAAAATGTGTGGAATATGATGACATGACGTGACATAATAGCCTGGTAACCATCCGTGTATATTAAACCCCTAAACTAGTTGTTTAATAATTGATTATTGTAATCATCATGCATTTGTTACCTTTTGAAAACTAAACTGAACATACTGGGGTATATACGTGTTCCAATATTGGAAGATGACACAATATCTTTATAGCTGTCTCACCTATCAGAATATACTACCACAGCTGCCTACCACATTCATTTCAAAACTAGGTTAGGAAGATGATGGATCACAGGGGCACCTGTCATTACTATGTAACAGGTAGCAGCTATGTACTGGCTGTATAAATACACTATAAATACTAAAGAACATAAACTAAACTAGTTATTTATGAACAACAAATTTTTGCTTGGTATTAATTCCCACTGTAAACCCAATCACATACAAACTAGCATGTGCTAATTTTGGTATAAATGTCAGACTCATTTAAAAAAAAACATCACTCCTTTCACCTCTGCATTCCTTTCTTCTTCTTCCTCTCTAGCTGCCTGCTCACTGCCCTGCCTGGACTGCTGACCACCCCCCTCCGGCTCCCTGGCCACACCCTCACCACTCTGGGGTTCATCTTCAGATCCACGTGGAATTGAAATGCCCCTCTCTTCTTCCCCTGGGTCGCCTGGTCCCTCCACATCGCCCTCCTCTGCCTGGTCACCTGGTTCTGGTAGGTCAAGGGGGCCTTCAGGTGGGTCCTCCAGCTCTACGGCAACTAGGTCATTCACTGGACCACGAAAATAGGGGTTGTTCGCCATATTTTGTCTCTACGTGAAAGTTATACGAACACTTCCATCAACTTCATCTGGATTTTTTATCACCGTTTACGGATGTGAACATTTTGATTATTTCTAGTCCTCTGAAGGTCACACTGTTGATGAAAATTTTGTCATACACAGTATACGTCTTTCTGACAAGTTGTTACAACAATATGACAGATTGCCAAGTATTAAGCTGCTCTCTAGGTCTCCATGTACAGCAATGCAAATATGTACAGAGTTTATTGAAAAGTACCTGTAGAATGACTTATGTATATGTCCACTGCAATGCCGGTCCACCCATGTCCCACAGCTGTGACCTAGTTCTGTTTACCTGTACTGCTATCAACACAGGTGTGCTAGGAGAAACACTTAAACAAATAAATCTACCTGAGGCTGGCACCGAGCCAGGGAATTGTACTGGTATCATTAAGTATTCATTAAGGCAGAAAACAATGCACATAATAATTAAAAGGAAAGCCAGGACTGCATTTCAATATCAAATAAAATATTTTCATTGACATTTTCATACTTTTGGAGAATTTTAATAATCAACTACTAAGTTTATCCCTTAAAACATTTTCCTGTTTAAGACATCCAGCCAAACTCTACAGTACATGTTCACTTTAAAAAAAAATGACAAAAGATACTTAATGTGTCAAATGGTGAAAATAATCACACATTATTTTTGACTATTTAATTTTTCTGTTTTTCTGCAGTAACCATTTCATTTTATCAATCAATTTGTCTTTTTCAAGGAGAATAATTGTACAATTTAAAAAACTGTTCTTGTGTTATGTGCCAAAATATATATCTAACAGCCAAAATAAATTAGTTTTTCACAATTTTTTTACAATTTACAAAAACGCTACATCAAGGGATAACAAAAAAAAAAAAAAAAAAAAGGTTACCATTTCAAACAGTTTCATCCCCAATAAATAATTTAATAATATTATAAGTAAAAAATAGAATTTTGTTTCAGCAATTTTACTATCTGAAATTAAATGAAACCAAATTAACCTTACATACTACTGTCTTTGTGAAGTGATTGCAAAAAATCCTAGGCAGCCTCCTGCACATTAATACAAACTGACATATAAAAAGTACAACTACAGCAATTGTGTTCTCACACTGAAAACTACTCAATCATATCTGTGCAGCAGTGACAGTGTGATCTGGACCATTACATACTGACTGTTTTTCAACTGGGATTACTGTTTTGAAAAGTTTTAGAATCATGGGGGGAAAATGAAAATGAGTGACTGGTTTACCCTTTTGGAAAATCAATATTTGTATCTCTCTCTAAAATAATAATAATAATAATGATAATAGCTTATTATTATTATTATTGTTTTTATTACATTATTATAACAGATAAACATGCCTCCTCTTGTTTTCAACCTGCTCGTATAATCACCAGCTTTTCTGTATTCAAACCAATGCCTATCTATTTATATGACTGCATTCAGCAAGAGTCCCATGCAAAATTGGGTTAATCTACAGAAAACTATGGTTTGACAACCAAAAAAGGCCTAGTCATACACAAATTTTGGAGAACAAAATTTAAAATTGTTTTTTTAATTGGACAACAAATCCAAGCCGAAGTAATTGTTTCATTTGGCTCGACTCCTGGACTAATAGTCATTTAAACCTGTCTTTTCAACAATAGATAACATCCAATTGACCTTGCCAGTGCATATACCGGTAAATGGCACTTTTCCCAGTAATAACAATTATAATGATAACTGTCATTCAGTTCCCCTTACCTGTTTCTCTGGTGCAGGAGAGATGGCATGCCAAAACTCATACCTGATCATAATGCTACAAACTTAAATAAATCCACTAAGCTGAACTCCTGAAACATCATCAATATGACAATGGATTTGCTCAGTTTTGTCCTTATCAGCCAGGTTCTTCACACAAAGAAGTCTGCGATAGTCATATCAGCCGTCATATGGCTATACTCAGTACAGTACACATTGCCCCATGTATTGATCACTCCTTTGTCAGATTAATATCCACACACAGGTTGATTATATGCAAATGATCTAAATGTAGCTCCCGATAAAATAGCTGGAGTACTTCTCACATATAAAAAGGACAAAGTTAAACAGAGTATTGTCTATCATATGAGACATAGAAAAAACAATATGCATACATATATAGTGTGATTGGTCAACTGATAGGTCCACTCTTATCTCAACTGACCACCTCTATTGTATGGTAAGGCCTTCAAATGAGGGCTTCTTTATTATAATTTTCAAATTCTCTATGGATTAAATATATTTAACAGTATCAAAAAATCAGATAAAATATAAAGTTTCTCTTGGTTTTTATTTATTTAAACTGATAACAATTATGGATTTAAATGACTAATTTCAAAAGAAAAAAGAGAAAAAAATATTTACACAGGTGCAAAGTTTACTCCTTTCAACCCTCACCCTGAGTTGTAATAAAGCCATCAATCTACATTCCATTTATAATTCAGAAAACAAGCAAACATATAGAACTAGTACAATAGACCAGACTTGTCAATACAAATGTGGTAAATTCAACTACAGATAGGGAAATAATTATCTCACTGACATATATTGGATAAAAAAACGTACTGTGCTTCAGGAAGGAGTGTATACACAGCATAATTGTGCAAAGAACCTTTCATTGTCCTTTAAATATAAGTAACATTAACTTCAAAATGTGGGAAATTTTTTAAGACATCAGAATATCTTTTATGCATTGGCACTTACTGTACTGCCTTTTTCATTTGTAAGATACGGTATGCATCTTCCAATTTACAAGGGTATGGCGTGGGGCATGCTCCACTAAGGCATATTGCAAGTAAGTACACAGTAGATTTACATTTGTATGCATGGGCTTGTTATCTATAAACCAAGATTAATTTCACCTATTAAATAGGCTTTGTTTAAAAGATTATTCTGAAAATGTTTCCCTTTGATCTACATTTACTCAGTAAACCTACCAAATTTTAAGAAAGCATCAAAGGACTATTCAAGTCATCTGTCAAGTATTGCATACTTCATACATGTCCATTCTTGACATTCTTTAAGCCCTGGTCCAAGACCTACCCAGGACCTGGTCATCTAACTGACCACTCAGTGACCAATTAAAGTATATCAATGTCCAGTAAGCAGCTAAAGCTACTGTACTGTTTGGTTAAGCAGCAGGTGTGTTTGGAGTCAGACAGTTCACCTGGATGACTCTTCACATGCAACCCTTTTATGACAAACACTGTGACCAAAATTCAAACTAGAAAAGCACTCAGAGAGCTCAGACCCCGTCAAGGCAGCAAAGTCTCTATCCAATGACATTTCACCCCTAAATTTTCAATATATCTGATTACTGATTATTGACTGATTATTGATGCGGATCACCACCAAAAACTAACCATCTGTTCCTTGGCCCACTTAATCTGATAGTTCCTGAAAATTTCACCAAAATCGGTCCATAACTTTTTGAATTATGTTGATGACAGACAGACAAACAAACATGGGTGAAAACATAACCTCCTTGGCGGAGGTAATAATAGCCCTTTGAAATGTCCCCAGAAAAAATAGTCCAGAGTGACAATTCATCTTGGAAAGACATTAAGCTGTTGTTTTCCATCTTAATGAGTTGTACCCTTGCCAATTTCACATTCCTAACAGTTCCATGGTCTTGTAAGTTCATCTTTGTTCAGGGTAGCCCCTGAGTAACTTTCCTATGCTTGAACACTCAGGTAACACATAATACTGACTGACTAGTCTCACAAAAGTACAGTGTACCAGTAGCATCTAAAGTGCAACATGGGCGTTTGTCCCACTGTTGTGCTTATGTCTTTAATGTTTACAATAAGTAACTTGAATACAATTCAATTACAGTCAAGTGTGTAATAAATAAATTAAAAGTTATACTGGTACATCATATATGTACTGTACCTTTAAGTGATTTGTGTAATCACAGACTGTGTGAAATTTAATCTGAAGTCTACGTTCTTCAAGATAAAAAACATCCAAATTATGCCCTCATTGCGCAATGGCTGGGTATCATAATAAAAATAAAATAAAAACACAGGCTATTTGCACTAAATCACCTTTATTATTATATGTTCTACAGATATATGATTACTCATCCTGAGGTTAAATATGATGCAACCTTTACCTGCATCCTGGTGTCTTTCTTATAGACAGTGACTTAATTGGCCTTTCAAGATCACATTACCTGCTTTCTCTAATTTAAAACTAACTAAATCCTTCCACCTGGTTTTCATCTCACTGCTCCATCAGATTGCTATATAAGGCTCACAAGCTTGAACAAGTTACACTGTTCATTCAATTACTACCATATAATATGTCTTATTCAATACAGCTTAAAGAAGAAAATGAAAGAGGGAGAGCAATACCAAATGTCTTTCATTTCCATTGGCATAGTGTGATGATTACTTGTACAAGATATTTCAACCATTTCTCACTGACAATATGCATTCCCCTTATATGGTGATATTCTTATATAATCTTGTGTCTATGCCTTACAATCAGGCACAAATGGAATCTGCCCACAAACAAAAGTTTAGTTTATATCCGTACTTGTATATCTACATTACTGCACAATAAACCCATTTACCTCACAAAATTTAGTATTTTAACAACTAGTGATTTTCATAAAAGAATGAACATCTGAACAGTTTATTTTGTGGTTTTTATTACAATATCAAAGCACTTCATAGCACTGTTTGGAACTATTCACAATTAACCTTATTTCTCTATGAATAGAGGCGTGGACTTTGTTTTCTTAGCTGTTATGTCAACAGGAATACACTAACTACAGGTGCCCTTGAAAACATTTAGAATTGCACGTATGTGCTTAATTTCACCAATCAAAATCAACCATTTCAAATATAAATTTCAATATCGTCTGGTTTTCGCTCACTGTATAACAATTCATTAGAAATAATTCTAGCTACAAACAGAACATAAATGAAAGAGCTTTCTACAAAGGGGGGCCATAATGTGTGTATTAAAGAGTAAAACTTAAATAAACTAGAAAAGATAAATACACATGCAGGTGGTGCATTAAAAATTTCAATACTGCTTTGTGAAAATTTGGATGAAGGTTATAATAAGCCCAAATTAGCTAGAGATGTTTTCTAAGCAACGCTCAAATGGTTTGAATGTCCTCTTTGTATTATGGTTTCTGTAAAAATTCATTCAAGACTAAATCATAACATCCCTCATTTCTAATTTTTCATCTGCAGCAAAATTTTAATGCATTGCATGTCAATCAGTACAATCATTAATGACAAAAGCCATCCCAGTTCAAGTGGTCTTATAAGCCTATTGTCCAGGATCGAAGTTAGGCTCCAATATCATTTGCCTAATAACAATATATAGGCCTACTTAACTTAATCACAATTTTGTCTTTTTTTAGCACAAACATTCATTCATGTTTCCTTCAGCATTTTCCAGCACTGTGTTGACATACAGTCATGTTTTTGGCAGCACATATCTCCCGCCATGCATCTTTCATACAGCTTATTTCTCTGAGTTAAGTAACGTCCAAAAAATATACGCATATGTCAATGAACTTTTTCAATGCACTTGGCAAACAGCCCATGTTGACATCGAAAAGATCTACGTACAGTGTCAATAAGTCAGCATATATTAAAACAGTGTTTGTTTCGCATTTTCTGATTTATTATATTTCATATTGAAAATGAAGACTCTGCTGTCATTTTACAAACCTTAAAAACGCATGCCACATACTATGGCACATGTCCCAAAAGCTTAATTGGTCGCTGGATCATCAGGCTCGCGCGTGCTTGGCCACTCGATCAGCTGTCAGGCGCAGGCATAAAAAGAAGTCTAATTTTCACGATTAATTAGCCAAAATATTTTCTTCAACGAGTGTCCACTGAAACTACAGACTAGTGACTTACCTATCGTCTGTTATCGTAGAAATTGTTCTTCACTCTGAGTTTTGTTGCCAGTTGTCTTTGTTTGACATACGATCAGCATGTGATTTTTTCAAGCAGCTTTGTTTTGATCTCGGCACAAACGAAGTCTCGCGAGATTTAGACAAAACGTCATCCCTCACTTCTTTCACTCTCTCTGCTCCACGTTCAAAAACAGGGACAATGTTCAAGTGACATTGATAAGAAAAGATAAAGTGCTTTTCCTCACTTATTAAATCAAACTGAAACATTATCAATGGACAAAGTGAACCAATAATTTAAATCAATGAGAAATGTGCACGCAAGTCAGCATGAATATATGTAGATATGAATGTTGTAGCAATTAATTATTATATAACTAATTAATAAATAATATTATACAACATGATTATAATTTTAAGTACAGCAAATCAGTATAGCTTTATGCAACCCAACAAATCTGTAACTGAATTAATCAATCTACTTTTGATAGACATGGCAATGCAAGTGGCTATAGACTTTGAGGTATGTATGTCTTAATCAATATCATATTAGAACATCAATTTTTAGGACTTTCAAGTTATCATTTAAAAATCAAGTTTTTTTTCCTGTTTGTATGGTCTTTTACAAAATGCATTGCATAATGTCTATTTTTCACATTCTTGCCAACAGGCAAATTATTTCAAAGTGATCGAATCACAACACATTTATATTATGGCCTTGTTAAAAGTAATTTGTTTTATTAACAAAGATTATAACTTATTACAGCCGATTCAGTGCAGATGTTTCAAACATCATTTCAATTTTATTTTCAATGTAACCCATTAAAAAGTGTCATGTATTCAAGCAAAAAGTATAAATAAATAAATACATATGAATCATAATCAATAAAGAAATAAAAATACAACAAACAATACAAACATTTCTTTCTACCATTTTCTTATAAATGTAGTAACAAATCATGAACATTTTATGCACATCTATTATCACCTTGTATTATTTGATAAGTCAAACAAATGTAAGTTATAAAGCTGAGATGATAAATACCAAATGGCACCAGCTTTTTCTTGAAACAATATCTGAAACAAGAGAGCAAAATAGGAAAATCATATTTATAAATTAACAATAATTAACAAACAAACAAAATTTTGTCAGCAATCATTAATCTAACAATTCATAACTTTCTTTATCTAAACTCACAGATATTTATTTATATATATATGTCATGGTCAGGCATATGTTATATAATTGAAAAAAAAATGTAAAATTGAAAAATACATTCGCAGTTGTTAGTATACATTATAAAATAATCCTCTGGTATGTCAACAGATGAAAATATAGTTTTCTCTTTTAAACATTTTCATATTTCTTCAAAAATTCTCTGTGTGTCATCACTGTTGCAAAACCGAATGCCAGGTTTTTCAAGGCAGCCTCGTGGTACTCCTTTGTTGAAGTGGCATTACAGTCACTGAGGAAAATGACATTGAAGTCATTGTTGAAGGCCACACGAGCAGTTGTTTCACAGCACAGGTTGGTCATGGTGCCAGTGATGACCACAGTGTCTACCTCCAGTTCCTGTAGTTTGCTTTTCAGTGGGGTTTCCCAGAATGAATCATAACGGCTCTTTTCTGTGATCATGATGTCATCTTCGACATTCAGGACCTTCTGTAGAGCTGGGATGATCTGCCATTCTTCAGTGCCTGATTAACACAATTAAAACTTTTGGGTAATCTCAGGGTAATCTGAATATCTAGTTATATGTAAAGTTACAAATAAAATCACATACGGATATGCCAACAAAACAAAGAAAGTAAATGAATTTATA